CTAGTCTACTAAAACAGCCAAGACAGGTCACTTTGTAAAGACTAATGGTCAGTTTTATATTATTGGATACAGTAACATGAGTGCAGATGTGCTGCATCATTGTAACTTCTGTATTGTTAGCCAGACATGGCTGAAAAGTCAATATAATAAAAATTATAAATATATATAAATGTATAATATTATGAGATTTAAGCTATTTAGTCTAAACATTTATGTTTTTGTATTATAATTTGTTGTCATTCTAGAACATAAAAGACATAATGTATAATTGTTTCTTATTTTTTTTTACGGTGGTTACAAGATTGGTCAAATCTACCAAACCCGTACAGAGATTCGTTACTGAAAAAAAAAAAGAGACAAAAAGAAACGTTTGATAACTATCTGGATATTATAAAGATTTTACATTGAAATTTGAAAATTTTCTGATGCATCATAGTATTTTTAATCTTAAAATGAAAATTACTTTGCATGTTGGATAGATAGACAACATGTGAAAAAAAAAAAGGCATGAGAAAAACATTGCTTTACAAACCGTAAGACTATATAAAAAGATTTGATATTTTGTGTATGAAAGCATTGTAGTGTTTACCGATGCTCTGCCAAATTTCATTAACATACACTTACTAATTTAAAAGTTATAGCATGAAAACTATAACAAGCATAAAATGGTTACGAGGTTGGTCCCAGAGACCGAGCCAGTGCTGAAAAGAGTTAAATATGTTATCAATTATACATCATAGCACTAAACTGCAGCAACAATCCATTGCATGATTATAAAATAAACATGCAGTGAATTCAAGTAATTTTATACAAATATACTCAATACAGGATTATTATTGTAAAAAATTACAAATGAAACAGTAGTTGATTTACTTTTTGTTAGATCAACAAATAGTTCTTCAATGCCCCGATTCAGCTTTGCAGATGTCAGAAAATGCTTGGCTCCAACAGAAGCAGAGTATCTGAAATTTAACCAGAAAATTTATTTTAAAATAAATAATAAAAAGTTAATATAATCAAATACGAGTTAATATTAAAAATGAACAAATGTACAAATGTTTTAAAACTCAAAACTGAAATTGTATCTACCAAATCTGAAAAAAAAAAAAATCCAGGAAAAGGCTTTATTCCCATTTTTACTAAACTCTCAAACTAAAAACATTATCCACAGTCTCCTAGTACTTTAACTGAATACCTAGTTGTCCCCCATCAAATATAGAGTATATATGAGAATTTTTCAGTTGTTTAGCACCACTATAAACATACAAAATTTTTTTTTTTGCATACAAGAAAGTCCCATAATGTAGAAGTCATCATGTATGTTGTGACAATATGTTACAATACTGGCAATTAAATTGAACAGAATAGTAAGAGTGAATAAAAAAATAACTGAATTTGGTAAAAACGAGTGGATAAAACGAATTTTTTTAATTTGTGTGTAATTTTAGCTGTTCTTGGTAAATTGTGTTTTGTAAAAGTTTTTATCAAGTCTTGAAAGAAATACCTGATGAAATCAACAAATATTGATGCAATACCTTAAAATTCATTTGAATTTAACTTTATGACAAAAATTATCTATCTGGGCCATACAACTCTTCAGTTATTTACAGCACTATAAATACAATGCAAAATAATTTACATTTCCAAGACCTACAAGTAGAAGTACATAACAATACCAATATTGAATAATTAGCTGTAAATAAAATACTAAATAACATTTCTTCAGTTCATCTCTAAGAATACATGAACAAATAATGAGTTTCCTACATATAACATAATGAAAGAAGAGAAAACTATGAAACTTATATTTAAAAAATAAAACAATTCTAGCTTACGCATCTGCTTCCTCCAAAGAAACTGCTCTATCCTTTTCAAGATCTGTCTTATTACCAGCAATACAAAGGCATACATCACTGCCTAGCATCTTACGTAGTTCCTTTACCCACATTTTCACCTATTGTTTTTACAAAAGTTGATCTTAGTCTAAATGTATATCTTTGTCAAATCTGTATATGAAAAACAAAGCTAATATTAGATCTGACTGAAAACTAAAACTATTGCTTTGATAGAAAATATAATTAATTACTATTTAAAGTTACAACATAAATCAAATACTCTTACAAGCCATGCAGTTTATTCAGACATAACATTAGTCAGTAATTATGTACCTAATCCAGCAACTATAATCTCTATGATAGTTATACTTATTCCAATGATCGTACACACATTTCTATACTCTTGATGATCAATTGAATGTCAGAAAAGCAGGAATGCCTGACTTTACACTCAACACTACATAAGGCTTAAACTTATAAAATAAATCCAAGTTAGAAAAATTGTCAATACAATTCTGAGTGCACAGACACATTCTGTTGTACTGGCTTAGAAGTGGTAAAATCATGGTGTTCTTAGTGCAACTCTTTTCACTGCAACACACACATCTATCTAGGCCTAAAATTAAGCCCCTCCAACTATCTTTCTATTTTAATGAACAGAATAAGTGTGTTAAAATAATCTATTTATGTATTGTTGCTATTCTGCCTAGTATTGTTACTCTAATGCACTTGTAGCTTAATTATATAATTATTAAAGATTATTTATGTTTTTATTAATATTATTTTTGGTTTTTAATTTTCTTAATATAATGTCATGACTTTATATTATCTCTTTTTTCCCCCATTTTCAAGTACTATATATAATGTATATATATATTTTTATCCAACCCTATATTCTAATATTTATCATATTGGTGTATATTTTTAATCATCTACATATTTGTGAACATGAAGAGGTGTACCTTGTCCAAAACATCATGCTAGTAAGTATATTTTTAAATGGTATAGATATTACACTGTATCACTTATTTTGCACAAGAATGTTTAATTACTAACTACTGTACAACAACACTAAACTTAGGAGTGGCTAATTACTGAATTTTTGCACTCATTCTAAATATTATTATTATCTACCTGAATATTTACGTAAGCATAGAACTTTTTAAATACGTATCCTTACCTTTCACATTACACTACTGTTTTGTTCAAAACAACAAACCTATAACTAGAATCACAAATTAAAGATAACTAATTTTGTTCGTACAAGAAATGATCAATACTTCTCTTTCATTATACTGCAAAACATGCACAAATAAGCAATGATTTCTTTTTTTGATGTTTTATTCTAAAACTTATAACAGTCAACATGGTTTCCAATACCCCACTGTTAATAACAGAATACATTCTTAAAGCTGATATAAGTACCCAATTCATTATATAAATGCATATAGCATTAGTAAAGTTCACCTTTTGGAATGAATCCTCATCAGTTATATCATAAACTAAAACTGCACCATTACTGTCTCTGTAGTAAATAGGACCAAGGGCATGAAATCTCTCCTGACCAGCCGTGTCCTGGAGAATAAAATGCATTATTACCTATACTACAACAAAAATTAACAAAAATGCTAAACTGTGCTGTATTTTTTATTTTTTTATCCTTATATGAACTATGATATTTGATATTGTTGTTATATCTTTAAAAGGAAATATACAAATAAAAAACAAGGGTTTATTTAATAAACACATAAGAAAGAAGCAGGGATGAAGAAAGTCCAAAAATATTTTACAGCTTGGGATATAAATAAGTAACCTCAAAATGTGTAATGCTTGTAAATATAGTAAGTAAAAACATTTATCTTGTGAAAAATAAAGATTTGTGAAAAAAGACCCATTTTTTTCATAGAATAACAGTGAATACAGATTGCACTATCATATATCATATTAATGGTTTTTGTTCTATATTGTTACAACTACTGTGAGGTAACTGCACATTATAAGAACAATGATCTGTGCTGCCCTTAAAACTACTTTTCTCATCACCAATCATACTTAATATAATGACTGATTATTTCCCACACTGCAACTTCCATTGGAACAGGCTTCTACAAGAGACAACAAAATCACTGGACCAAGTATTATGACAAATATTTCAGAGACCTTCCAGTGTATGTGAATGTCAGAGCATAGTTGTAAAGTCCATAGGAGTTTCAACATAGGACTTCACATGTAGTCATACAAGTTTAATATAATTCCAGTTTCTTCAGCCATCTTTCTCCTGAAAGATTTTGAGATGTAGCTGAAAGCTACTGAACCTTTGTTAACTTCAAATCCTTGTTAATTATATTGTTAACAGTAGGAGATATGCTCAGGTTTATTACAATGGCTTTTTGGGTTAGAGAGATCACGTTCTTAACCACATCCTTTATGTGTGGAGAAGAATATTGTTTCAGACTAGATTGGATGCGGTTTCAGACATTACTATCCTAAGTACCTTTGTAGGTTTTTCTGTTTTCATGAACAACATAGAAAGTTCCATTCTTCAAGATGTTGTGTCCTTTGGCTCTACATTGTTTAACAATCTAACTATAGGAATATTGTTTCTCTGAAAGAGCTGTACCATTATCCTCTCGCCATAAGTTTATCTATGAAAGCACTGCCCCATTAAATGGTCAGGAATTTACCATAATTTTCCAAATATAATACGCACTCTAACCTTCATGAACAAAGAGTCAAATTTGTATTATTAACATAAATAATACCAACCAAGACTTCTGCAATACTGTGGGCAAAGTAACCTTTTGATTACAAGAATGTTAAGTGTGCATATAATCTCTGATTGCAAGCTCGCAGTAATGCTTCCTTCCTCTGCAATCTCAGCTAGCAAATAAATATTGTCAAAGTGTTAGAGTATCCGTAAAGTCACTAAAAGCAAGTTTGCCTTAGCGCTTGCTATGTAGAGAAGTTGCGCCAACTATTTAAGGACAGTGAGTTGGTTTCAGAATTTGAAGGTTTCACTAAAAATGATTTTTACTTTTGAATATCAAACATAATGTAGTGATAACTAGTTTTGTATTTCCAAACCTAAGTGTGCAAGTAAATAAGTCTAAAAATCACAAGACTTAGCTTCTTAATCATTTTATTTCAAAAATAGTGAAAGAAAAGATGGCCTAGACTGGCTGTAAATAATATTTAGATTTGGTACCATATATTATACATACCCAAACTTCTAGATACATTTTAATGAAATAAAATGCATATTATATTTGAAAAATTATGGTGTGTTAAGAATGGATAATGGTAGCTCAGGTAAGTATACATGATTTGTTACTCTTAAATCAGCAGCAGTAACCTCATACAAGTAGTTATAAACCAATGTGATGATGAAGGTTTCTGGATCACTTCAAGATATAAGATCTTGAACTATGCAGTTCTCCAAGGATCATGTTCATGAAAAATAGTCACTGATTAATGGATCAGAAAAGAAAGTAAGATGAAAAGTTAAGAAAGAAAATGAAAATGCCTAGTTTAACAATTTACTAGCCAGGAATTGGCTGTGTTAGAAATTCTCAAACTTAAATTTACAGTTCTTTTTTTTCTTTCAAACACACACACACACACACAAACACATTTTTTTTACCAAAAACATAATGTTAATTTCCAAGCAACTTTTCCCCCAAAACAATTGTTTTAATACTTCTTTTGTTTTGAGCCAAATAACAGAAGAAGTGTAATATTAATCTTCAAACAACTTCTCCAACAGTATGAATTCAATTGTTGAAATACTTGTTTGTTGCAATGCTGCTTTAAAATAAAGATGTTTTTTACTTTTTGAAAATATTTGTAAAACAAATTACATCAAGCTTAAAAGAAACTATTCTTACCCAAATAGCTAGATTGACTCGCTTCCCTTCAATGTTGACTCTCTTATTCAAGAATGATGCCTGTTAAAAAAGAAAAAAAAAATGCTTTGCTTTTCAGTATAACAAACAATAAAATGGTTCTGTACAGTTAAAAATGTTGTAAAGAAAACCAATTTCTTTCCCTAAAGATTTATGAACACAAGCATAAAGCAAAGTTTACTTTTTGTCTTTCACAGACTACATTAACATCTGTACTGTAATATCAATCATGTTATACCCTTTACATTTTCATACATGTTAAAGCTAATAAAACACCAGAGACGTTAAAAAGATGGTCATTTCTAATTAAGTCAACACCATTTTCAGGTTGTTAAACATGTAAAAAACAAGAACCATAACTTTTGCAAACATAATACAACAAGAAAGATGATACCGAACTCTACCTACTCTCAAAACATGACAATACACTTATTAGCAAGGGCTTTTTGATACAAACTATATCATTTATTGATTCTGAAAGTTTAGGTTGGAGGAAGAAATATGAATGATAATTTGGAATGAAAACTAAAACCCAATTTAAGCTGAAATTAAGTACTAAGTATATGTTTTTTTTAACATGAAAATAAAAAAGATGTAATGAATTCCAAATGTTTTTTTATAAACGTATAAACCTCAATCACAAACTCAGTCCTTATCAATTATTATCTAGTGTTCAAAGCAATAATAATAATAATTAACTTTTCAATGACTCATTTATCTTAATTTCTTAAACCCTTAAATATAGGTTTATTAATGCAAAGCTTCAAATCTGTTTTACCCAATAAAAGAACAAATTACCAATAAAACTCAACCATGTTTAATGTAACATTTAAATGTCTATTATATTAAGATAATTTTTTCATGCATTAATTTGGGTAAAATTGTTTTGTATATTAAAAATGTTCTACAAGTTAAAGACGCAACTCAACTAATGAAAGTTTATACTGATCAAAACCAAGTTTACGACTGTTTATAATACATGTATTGATTTTATTGCTTAATGTTTAAGCTAGGATGTTTCTTGTCAGTATATCAAACCATTACAGTTTCTCTTTTTTATGCTTTGTATGATTTGGAGAAAGACAAGCTGGCTCCAGTTAAGCTAGTTTTATTTTTCTAACAGGAAAATTGATTATGGAATGAGTTGCCACTGACAGTAGTGGAAACTAACACTTTACAGGAGTTTAAGAGGGGTTTGTTTGTTTGTAATTAAGCACAAGCTATATAATGGATTATCTGTGCTGTGCCCACAAATGGTATTGAAACCCAGTTTCCACTTGCTGCTGAGCCACTGGGGGCATTTAAGAAGGAAATCAAACATTTTTTAAAAGTAAAGAGTAGGTGTGTAAGGACAGCCTTGAAGGAAAAAATGGTCCCTTCTTGTCCAGAGGTTGCTATGTTTAATACAACTATATCACAGTGTTTCATGGGAAAAATTAATGACAGCAAAGCTTAAGTATAATCCATTTTCACAATAACTGTAACTTAACATAATGAGGTATTAAACTTCACAAGAGCATTATTTTATTTTTCCATTTAGCATAAGGATAGTGTTGTAACTAGTAGACCTGTATTTAACAACCTAGAAGATATACATAAAAAATCGTAAGCCATAACAAGCAAAGAATAACACGGATAGATAATATAAAGGTTTGTGACATGTACATATGTGTTTATACAAAACAATACTGGTAAACTACATTATTAACATTTTCTTTACCTGATAATGTATTCAGATAGATACTCACCTCTTCACAGAAGTGTTACTACCTTGTGCCACTGTAAAAAAAAAAAAAATTGTGCATGCCACAAACCTTGAACAAAACACATGTATTAATGTGTACTGCTCTAGCCTATGACATAAACATCATTAGACTATAGCCCTCTACAAATAGGAGAGCAACACATCCTCTATGCACAGTAGACCACATTAGTATTGGTGTTTCTACAAAGGCTCATTCTTGATGAGGCAAAAGAAGCACAGCAGAAGTGGGGAGGAAAGGTGGGAGGTTTTGTGGAAAGGTGACTATCTATCTGAAATACATTTTCAGGTAAAAAAAATGTTAACTTGATAAATGCTACTCACCTCTCCACAGAACTAAGAGCTAGAATACCACATTGATAAGATTGTGGATGAGTCAGTGTAGATAAAGAAGTTAAAAAGATGAAGGCCTTTCTAACTTTTTTAGTCAGAAAGGGAAAACTAATGAAGCATGTGACCCACTATGGGCATAACTCAGTAATGGACCTCATCATTATCGAGTAGGGAATGCTTTTCCTCAAATAAAGGTGACAGAATAAAAGGTACTGTCAAAAAAGCATTCTGCATGGTGCTAAAGTGTCATATAAATGGATGAAATGTGAGATTACTCAACCAGTTGTCGGCAGAGGATGGGTGTGTAGTATGGCTAGAGCAACAAGTCAAGCGTTGGAGCAATACTTATAAGAATAAACAGGTGCAGGGAGAAATTATCCTAGACCTGTATTCAAAGAAGAATGTAAAATCCAATCTTGCTGGCATAACCACTGAGAATGGTTTGATTCATAGTGCAGTCGGGTGGACTTTACTACATTTCCTGGTAGCACTTCAGCCCTACTCCTGGTTGAGGGATGCCATCCACCAGCAGGATTACACCAACCTGAAGGGACCTCCCCAGTGCTTTGGGAATAGGGAAGCAAGGGTTCTCCCTTTATTCCACTAGAAGAAAAAGGAAGGGAGAATGCCAGAGAAACACTTGGACAGAAAAGAAGTAACCATATCTACGCAAGTTCCCACACTGACAGATTATATAACGAGTTATTGCGAATAGGGACAGCAAGAAGTATTAGTCAGGTATGAGGGATAGATAATACTTGGTGCTGTCTACATTGTTTTCCCTGGAAGATATACATATGTATACTACGAAAGCAGTTTTAAATAAAACTCAACACCAGACTCTGAGCAGAGTCAAATGGACTGAACACTGTTTTATGCCCTACTCTATGCACCTTTTTCAGAGAGAAGTATTCTCTGTGAGGCAACATCAGCCAGCAAATTTCATTATATCCATAACATAGATATATAGAAATAAAAAGTGGTTACAGGACCTAAAAGAAAAACAAAGAAACAATCAACTCATTACTTAGAGTCTCTGTGAGGATTGTAGAGTGATGACTGAAGGGAAATTAAAACCATAAGCAAATTAAACCACAATGTGGCATAAGTATCGTGACACAAAGATCACAACCAGCAAGATCTCATCCAGGGGTAATCAACAGGGAGAGGTAAGAGAAGCTACGAGATGATGAACTACATGGGAGAATGAAAAGTGTTATCACCAATACAAGAAGAAATAACCCATAGGAGGGTCATAGCCAAACAATCAAAATGGAAAGAGATAAGTTACTAGAAGAAGAGAAAACCCATGACAACAAAAAAGAAGGGGGCTGAATGAGCAAGATAACAACAAATGTGTATGGAAATCCCAATATACGAGTGTTATAAGCCATAAGACTTACCACATAGCCACTAAGGGGTTCCAAACTTATGTATGTTGGGTGGGGTTGGGAATAAAAGGGATGCTCATAGCTGTGTTGGATAAAGTGAGCCACCTTAACAGCAAGAGATTAAAAGAAGGAGGGAGAGACATAAGAGAAAACAATGGATATCTGAACATACTATACTGATCAGCCAAAGTTCACTGAAAGGAATGCACATCTGAGAACAACAAGGGACTCAAGAGAAGAAAAAGTTCCCACAAAGAAAAAATCCTCTTGTTCAGGAAAATAAGAAGACATGAGAGTTCCACATCTTGAAGACAAAGGAAAAGTCTAAGCTTAATCCATATAAGAATTGAGAAAGACCCTAAGTGAAGGAGATACTGGATTAGAGTCAAAACTGAATCAGAGAGCCAAATAGATCAATAATTATGTTCAACTGCAAAGGAAGTACTCTGCTATTGGTAAGAATTCTGATATGAACAATGGAACACTCCCTGGTCATAACATGCAAAAGCATGAGAAAGCTCATTACTTAGCAATGCCATCAAGTGAAAGATACATTGTCAAATATAATGAACTAAATGCTATAGCACTTATTAGTAGTATGTAAATAATTGGATAGCATTGTAGAGATTGATACTTTAATAAACAGTTATTCAAAAAAGGATAGTTTCTTTAATTAATTATTCTCACATGAGACCCTGATAGTTGGAATAATTGAAAACAGTAAAAATCGGAACCACTAATTTTGATGAGTTGATTATTTTCCTGAGTTGTGACATTGACTGATTAAGCAGAACAATCTCAAATTCATCAAAAATAGTAGTTAAAAATTATAAAGGCAATATTTAATTACTTAGATAGTTGGAATACCTAAAACTGTAATAATGGAAAACACTGATTTAAATTAGTTGATTATTTTATACTGGTAATTGATTATACCGATTGAGTTAATTATTCAGCTCTAATAACTATAAAATAAAACACAACTACCTATATACATATTTTAATAGGCATTTATTACATAAATTATATATCTATAAAACATTAAATACATTTGGGAAAGATACATACAATTGGTAAAAAATATAACCAATACATTAGACAAGAGCTGAAGAAATTGGAAATTTGCAACATAAGAAAAGAAATATTTTAGAAAATGTTACTGGTATCTAGCACCAAAGCTTTATAATATCCCACAATATTAATAGAACACTATTTAACAGTAAAATATATGTATCAAATCACCATTGAAAAAATGTATAACTAATACTGGTGAAACTCAAAATCAGTAATAGCATATACATGAATTGAAAATAAAATACTGTGAACATGTAATATAAAATATTTTGAACATTTAAAATATAAATTATAATATACTAAATACCATTAATATGTACTTAAAATCTGATATCTATATAAATATAAATGTTCTGTCTGTTATCTGTCCATGTAACTACTTTGCAGGGCATGGATGGATCTTCACCAAAATTGGTATGGAGGTTCATAAGGTCCATGCAGGGGTACATACAAATTTTCAGTTTTACTTTTTGTGGTTTGTA